GGGGGGGGGGGGGGGGGGCGGTGAATTGGGTTAATTGCGTTAATTGGGCTAATTGGGGAGGGGCCGGCGTTAATTAGAGGGGGTTTCTGTTAATTGGGGAAGGGTCTTTGTTAATTAGAGGGGTCCCGAGTGATTCGGGAGGGGACGAGTTAATTAGAGGGGGTTTCTGTTAATTGGGGAGGGGTTCACGTTAATTAAGGGGGTTTCTGTTAATTGGGGAGGGGTCTCTGTTAATTACAGGGGTCCTGAGTGATTTGTGGGGGTCCGCATTAATTAAGGGGGTTTCTGTTAATTGGGGAGGGGTTCGCGTTAATTAAGGGGGTTTCTGTTAATTGGGGAGGGGTTTGCGTTAATTAAGGGGATTTCTGTTAATTGGAATGGGGTTCACGTTAATTAAGGGGGTTTCTGTTAATTGGGGAGGGGTTCGCGTTAATTAAGGGGGTTTCTGTTAATTGGAATGGGGTTCACGTTAGTTAAGGGGGTTTCTGTTAATTGGGGAGGGGTTCGCATTAATTAGGGAGGTTTCTATTAACTGGGGAGGGGTCCCGAGTGATTTTGGGGAGTTTCTGTTAATTGGGTTAATTGGGGAGGAATTCGAGTTAATTAAGGGGTTTCTTTTAATTGGGGAGGAGTTCGAGTTAATTAAGGGGTTTCTGTTAATTGGGGAGGACTCCTGATTGATTTTGGGAGGCCCTCCGTTAATTAGGTTAATTGGGGAGGGGTTTGAGTCAATTAGGCTGGTCTCCGTTAATTGGGGAGGGGTCCGCGTTAATTGCCGATACCCCGTTAATTAGTGATACCCCATTAATTGGAGAGTGTCCCCTTAATTCCTGAAATTCCCATTAATTATAGATATCCCCGTTAATTACCGATATCCCATCAATTACTGATATCCCCGTTAATTGGTGATACCCCGTTAATTACCGGTATCCCCGATAATTATAGATCTCCCTGTTAATTACCGGTATCCCTTAATTACTGATATCCCCGTTAATTGGAGGGGGTCCCGTTAATTGGAAGGGTGCCGTTGATTTGGGGTGTCCCGTTAATTAGGGCTGTCCTGTTAATTACCCACACCCCGTTAACTGGGGGGATCCCGTTAATTGGAGGGGGGGTCCCGTTAATTGAGGGGGGTTCCCCCACTGATTTAACCGTCCCCTCTAATTAACCCATCCCGTTAATTGAGGCGGCTTCCCCACTGATTTAACCGTGCCCCCTAATTAACCCCGTCACGTTAATTGGGGGGGTCACGTTAATTGGGGGGGTCCCGTTAATTGCCGGGCTCCCCCCTGATTTCACCCCCCTAATTACCCGCGCCGTTAATTGGGGGGGTCCCGTTAATGGGAGGGTGGGTCCCGTTAATTGCCGGGTTCCCCCCTGATTTCACCCCCCTAATTACCCGCGCCGTTAATTGCCGTTAATGGGAGGTGGGGGTCCCGTTAATTGGAGGGTGGATCCCGTTAATT